TTGGCTCATCAACCATAACTCCTTCAAAAACAGCTAGAAACCTTGGAGTTGTGATTGATGATAAGCTGAATTTCTCAGACCACATTGTTAAAACTGCCCGGTCCTGCAGATTTGCTTTATACAACATTAGGAAGATCAGGTCCTTTCTTTCAGAACATGCAACACAACTCCTTGTTCAAGCTCTTGTTCTATCCAGGCTGGACTATTGCAATGCTCTCTTGGCAGGTCTTCCAGCCAGTTCTATCAAACCTCTACAATTAATCCAGAATGCCGCTGCAAGATTAATCTTTAATGAGCCGAAAAGAACGCATGTCACACCTCTGTTCATCAGTTTGCACTGGCTACCAGTAGCTGCTCGCATAAAATTCATGGCATTAATGTTTGCTTACAAAACCACCACTGGCTCTGCACCCCTTTACCTAAATTCATTACTTCAGAGTTATGTGCCCTCTAGAAGCTTGCGTTCTGCAAGTGAACGGCGTATTATTGTGCCATCTCAAAGAGGCACAAAATCACTTTCACTGACTTTTTCATTAACTGTTACCTCCTGGTGGAATGACCTGCCCAACTCAATCCGAGCAGCTGAGTCCTTAGCCATCTTCAAGAAACGACTAAAAACACATCGGTTCCACCTTTATTTAACTCTCTAACTCTAGCACTTTCTATTCTATTTGAATTCTACTTTATCTTCTTTTTTTATTTAAAAACAAAAAAACAAAAAAAAACACTAGCTTTCTATTTATTCTACTCTATCTACTTGTTTTCCTTTGTGTGTGTGTGTGTGTGTATATGTGTGTGTATAATATATATATATATACACCTTGCTACATGTACTGCGTTAGCCTAATCGAGCCTTGTCATTTGCACTTACATACTGTTGCTCTTTTGTTAGTTTTGACTGCTTTTATTGTCCTCATTTGTAAGTCGCTTTGGATAAAAGCGTCTGCTAAATGACTAAATGTAAATGTAAATGGATATTATTTATCAATATAATTAACAATATTAAAGTGGCCATTATTACAATGATTCACTTAAAACGACAGGCTTACTAAGTAGTTTTCCTTCCCTTTAATGAGACATATCTTGTTTGTCTTTCACAAATTATTGTGTGCTCTCTGGAAAAATGTTCTGGGGGCATTCATGAGGAAACTTTCTCCAAGAAAGACCAAGCGGCAAATTTCTTTACAAATGAATCCAGAAGGGACGTTTAACAAAATTAAAGTGCGATATATGTGTTTTTTCTTGTGTGGTGGAATTCAGAAGCTCAACAAGTATGAAATATCACCTGTGACAGAAATTCATCATCAATTTATACAAATGTTGGATGTAAAGGAACTAAATGCAGTTAATAAACATGATTAATCATGATTTATTATTTTAATGTACTGTCAGCCACAATAGTTAAATTCTGTTTTAAAGATTTAACAAAGCAAAACCAATCCCTGGCTGGGAATGACTGATTTAGAGAATATGAAGCACATTTTTTGGTTACCTAAGTTGACCCGAAAAAAAAACCTAAAAAGTTGGAACAAGCACAAAAGTGCAACAAATCCAATTGTATTAAAATAAGCTGAACTGCAGAGAAATTGATCATATCCATATGATCAATTTCTCTGCAGTTCAGCTTATTTTAATACAATTAAAGGAAGTTGAATGCAGTGTGAAGTACCTGAGAGGCATAGTTGTGTCCATCAGAGCCACAAACGGGACCAGAGGAAGATACTGGGCAAGGTTTACAGTTATTCTCCTGCTGCTGTCTAATGACCTGCTGCTTCAACCTAAAATAGCCAATATTAACATGGCATCAAAATAAAATCAATATTCAATTTAAGATATAAACTGAGGCATGCTTGGTTACTCAAATGAACAGGAACAGTGCATCATTGGTCCATTTTTTAATATAAAGTTACAAGAATGTTCTCTGTAGTTAGTTGTGTGCTACAATGAGAACCAGCCCCTAAGGGATGGCCTCAGGAACAAGTTCAATTTGTAAATAGAACAAACGTCCAGGGACGAATCTGTGTACCTCACAATGTGCCACCAGACAACACATGCCTGCTTTAATAAATTGCTCTTATTTCACCTCTATAAAAATATGGCTTTCTCTTCACAAGTGAGTGAACATTCTCTAACACTTGTGGAAAAAAAGGGATCATAACTATTTTAATTATTTAATTTTCTCTAGGGTCCAGTTAAAATGTTAGTCAAGGTTTTTTGCACCAAAATACAAAGTTCTGTCATGAAACTCAAGATGGCGCAGGCCAATAGGTCCTAACTCAATCTGATATAATCACATCATTATTCACATGGTTTTTGTTGCATCAGCAGCCAATGAGTTTGCTGCTCGACATTCAAATATTTGGTCAGTGTACGCCATAGAAGTTTGCAGTGCGGTTCAAAACCCTCCACCTTCCCCAGCTCCACCTGTATAGATCTGCTACGGGGTAATTTCATGTATGCTATATATGCGGGTTATTTTATATATGTTAAATTCGCTTGTAACACTCCAAAGAGAAAGGAAAACTTGAAATCGCATCATATGACCCCTTTAAGGAACTCCTATTTACAACAAAAGAAGCATGACAAGCACCCTTTAATTCATAATGGAGGTTAATGTAAAGTGAAAAATTTAGCGCCTGTCTATCCGCAATGCTCTCTATGCTACAGCTTCAGCCTTAGAGAAGTTTAGACACTTAGAGAAATCTATACATAACGGCACAAGGTTGATCAGTAAGCCTCACTTCATCACAACAGTCTCAAGCAGATTAAAGAGAACACAAGAATAATGATGTTGCTATAGCAACAGTCCAACTCCAGAGTGAGGACTGATTAGCTGCTCATATAAGTAAAAAACAAACAAACAAATAACTCTCTCTCTCTCTCTGCGTCTCTCCATAATCATTGCACAATTTAACAGTAAACATATCTTCAGAGCAGTGGCCCTGCAGTGAGTTGTCCCTATATAATGCATTATGAAGGTCTCCATGTATAAGCGATGCCAAATCCGTCTTAGACAACCGAGGAATCTTGTCCAGTCACGTCGCATCATCTCTTTCATCCTTTGTTTACACACAGGGCAGCATTTAATGTGATCATTACAATCGCAGAGTAGAAGTAAGGAGCTACTGACTCTATCAAGCACAGCCAGTGGCTGAGCTAATGCAGCTAATACACATCAGCAGCCAGAGCCACTTAACGCTGAGCATATCAGATCAACTCGCGGGGAAAGGTTCACGGAGATAAGGACGCGATACATGCTGTATACACAGGAAAGAGAAAAAACAATCACGCTGATAAATAAAAGATGCACGCTGATTAAATAAAGATGTCTCCATTTGTTTTTAATGAACTGAAGCTTTGTATCCTGTTGATGGTCTATTAATTCAGGTACAGGCTGACTCAACAGACTGCTGAGATGTTCTTTTCACAGGTACACACACTGGGAATGTGAAAAAAAAAAACATCTGGTTGTGATAAAACTGTCCACGTACCAGCAATACTTTGTTGACCTATTAATACACATTCAGTTTATGGGATATGTGCAGCTCATACGAGATTAATATCATATATCTGACACAGTCGATTAGCCATAGATATGCAGGAATATGTGCTTTCGAGGAAGTTTCGCCTTAGGGGTATAAATCTGGATTAAAAAAAGGAATACACAATCTACCATTCAAAGGTTTAGAGTTGGCCTAAGTATGAAGGTTATTTATTTGTTTGGAATGATGTTTTATTTTGCGACAATGCATTAAATTGATCAAAAGTGCCAGTAAAGATTTTATAAAATATTCTGTTCTTTTGAACTTTCTATTCATCAAAGAATCCTGAAAAAAAAAATATTGCAGTTTCCATAAAAATATTAAGCAGCACAACTATTTCAACATTGATAATAATAAGAGATGTTTCATGAGCACTAAATCAGCATTTTAGAATGATTTTTTAAGATCATGTAACACGACTGGACAAGACTGGATAAATGGCTGCTGAAAATGAATCTTTGCCATCACAGAAATTAATTACAGTTTAGCACATATATATAAAATAGTTATTGTATATAAAATAAGTTACTGTTTTTACTGTATTTTTATCAAATAAATGCAGCCTTGGTGAGCATAAGAGACTTCTTTCAAAAACAAAAAATCTTACTGACTCTCTCTCTCTCTCTCTCTCTCTCTATATATATATACATTGAATTTACTTTACAGTACATCACACAATTAATTCCCCACCCACCCCCCAATTTTTTATTTTATTTATTTATTTATTTATTTTAGGCAAGGCAAGTTTTTATACAGACATGAGCAAGTATAATGACTAGTGTTTTGAGAAAAACTACTGTCACAATAGATACATCATAAATTTGTCCTGAAGTTGCATGACAACTGCTGCGTTGATAACTTGTAAAAATACAAATTTGTTCCTCATTAAAAAGGTAAGGACCAGTGCTACCTTTCAAAAAGGCACTATAAATAAGGCTCTTTGGGAATTTCGGCTGCTTTGGTATCTGTTAGCTGTCTGACGCCTGAAAATCGAAACATGGAGAGCAGACGCTCTTGAAATATCAGACTATAAATAAAATCTTACAAGGCCAATTAGATACCAACATAAAGTAAATAACTAATATTATTTAACATTTCTTCTACACTGCAGATTTATCTAATCTAATTCCTGTTATGCCACAACAAAGGTGTATTTTAGCACTCTTAAAACTTGGCCAGAACAAACTCTTTATTATATTTCAAATGGATTTCCTTTTACTTTTAAAATTCCTTCAGAACTTCTTTAGAAATTGCAGCTCTTTATGAAATACAAGTGATTCAAGTGACACTACAAGATTAGTGAACTGCTCCTAGTTTTTCTCTCTGAAAGAAAAAAGGATTTGAATTTTAACTGGCTGCTTTTATGTGGAAACATCATGCTTCTTGGGGTGTCGAGGGCTGGGACAAATCTCTTTTATCACTGCTTCATTAATGATCTAATAAAGGAGACAAAATGCATTCAGTGTGGTAAGTAAATAGATTCCCTTTCGAATGGTCTTTCCCGTTGCATCGTTGACGATTTCGGGAAAACTCCTGTTTACTCTGTTACTGAAGCCTGATTTGTTCATATTCGTGTAGCTGCACGAACCAATAGCGCTTCAACCTGCAAAAAGGAGAGGAAGCGATTGCTATATACATCTGAGAGCCATCTTTCATCTGAATTTTTATCCTTCAGTGACGAAGATCATCAGATGGGCACAGTGAGTTTGTCGCCTGTCTGGGCAGTGCCCACGGTTTACCTGCAGAGCGGTTTACAGCAGCACAGAAGTCATCGCAGGCAATGCGTCACTTCCTGCTGAAGTGCTCCTGTGCGGCGGCTGTTTCAAGTCGCCAGAAGGCTCCATCCTCCCAGCAGCCTGCCAAGCCAGCGCCGCCTCAGCCCGAGCCTAAACCTGAGCCTGGGCTTTAGCAGCACCCCTGGACGGTCAAATGCTACCCGTTTCCAAAGTGTCAATGTCCCCGCCCCAGAGCGACCCACATACTCAAAAGAGCATTTCTCCTCTCCTCATTACCACGAATGACAGTTCCCTGCCCCTGTGCGGCGAACTACCATTCGAAAAACTAGAATCACTTGCCATCTGGCTACAGGCTTGGAAAGCTATCACAGATGTGCCAAGTTGGGTTCTAAACACCATGTTTACTCGCTTCGGTTTGCTCACAGGCCACCTTGCTTCAGAGGTATTATTCAGACTTTGGTGCTGGACAACGATGCTCATGTTCTCCAGTCCGAAGTACAAACACTGCTTGCAAAAGGAGCCGTGGAAACGGTTAGTCTAGCGAACAGTGAGTCGGGCTTTTCAGCTTACTTCCTCGTTCCCAAGAAAGATGGTGGGCTCAGACCCATTCTCGATCTCAGACATCTGAATCGCTCGCTTATGAGATGGCCTTTCAAGATGCTAACTTTGAAACAGATCCTCACGCAAATATGTCCCGAGGACTGGTTTCTGTCAGTGGATCTGAAAGATGCTTACTTTCACATCCAGATAGCCCCCCATCGCAGACTGTTCTTGAGATTTGCATTCAAGAGAGTGGCCTATCAATACTCCGGGTGTGTGTTCAATACTCCGGGCCTATCACTGCTCCAGGTGTGTGTTCACGGTGTGTGTGTGTTCACTACTGTGTGTGTGCACTTGAATTGGTTAAATGCAGAGCACGAATTCTGAGTATGGGTCACCATACTTGGCCACACGTCACTTCACTTTCACTTTCAATACACAGTCCTGCCATTCGGATTGTCTCTGGCCCCACACACTTTTACGAAGTGCATAGACGAGGCTCTTTCCCCTCTGAGACAGATGGGAATCTGCATTCTGCACTACCTCGACGATTGGCTGGTTTTAGCCAGGTCAGAATGGGAACTCATCGCTCACAGGTTGCTGCTGCTCAGCCACCTGGAGCGCCTTGGGTTGAGAATCAATTTAGCTAAGAGCTCTTTGTCTCCCAGCCGGCGAGTGGTCTTTCTGGGGACAATTATCGATTCTGGCCGAATGCAGGCATGGATTACGCCGGAACGCTCCCTGACTGTTCAATGGCCAGCAGTGTCATTCAATTTGGGGACTTCACGTTCCCTCAGGGCTTTCCAGAGGATGCTCGGCCTTATGTCGGCTGCTTCCTCTGTGATTCCTCTGGGTCTGCTTCACATGCAGCCCCTCCATTACTGGCTCAAAGTCCATGTCCTGTCCCACGCTTGGCACCTGGAACGCTCTCATCTCAGGGTAACCCACCGCTGCATCAGAGCTGTGGCCCCTTGGAAAACCCCTTGCCTGCTTCAATCAGGCGTCCTAATGGGACTGACCTCCAAAAGGAAGGGGGTCACAACAGATGCCTCCAACTTGGGTTGGGGAGCTCTGTACGAGGACAGAGAGCAGTTCATGTGCCAGGCAGACTGAACCAAGTGGCAGACATGCTGTCCAGGGAAAAGGTAGCTCCAGGAGAATGGAGACTACATCCCCAATTGGTTCAAATGATTTGGACGGTCTCCGGGAGGGCAGAAGCGGACCTCTTCACCTCAGAAGACAACTTTCACTGCCCAATCTACTTTTCGAAACAGCGAGATGCTCTGGCCCACGATTGGCTCAGCACTTGCCTGTATGCCTTCCCCCCGGTTTGCCTGCTTTCTCAGGTCATCGGACCAGTCAGTGAAGTCAGATGTTCAGTCCTCCTGGTGGCCCCACTCTAGAGGAACTCAGGTTCCCTGAGTTGATTCAGCTGCTATCAGCAGCACCTTGGCCAATACCACTGAGGAAGGACCTTCTCTCGCAAACAGAGGGCATGATTTGGCATCCCCTGCCAGAGATGTGGAGCCTTCATGTCTGGCCCCTCGACAGGTGCCTTTACAGCTCCCTGCGATTGTAACTAATACCATTTTAGAGGCTAGAGCTCCATCTACAAGATGTCTTTACGCCCTTAAATGGTCAGTCTTTTCTGACTGGTGTGCAGCACGGAGCGAGAACCTGTCATTGTGTGATGTGTCCTACGTGCTAACCTTTCTGCAAGAGCTGCTGGATAAGGAGTGCACCCCTTGCTCAAAGTATATGTGGTGGCCATCACGGCAAATCATTCTCTCATGGCTGGCCAATCAGTCAGCAGAAACGACCTAGAGGTTAAGTTTCTGAGGGAGCTTGGAGATTGAATCCGCCTCGCCCTCATACTGTGCCGACTTGGGACTTATCTCAGGGCCCTGGGAGGCCCTCCCTTTGAGCCGCTCCAGACTTGTGGCCCCTGTCGTTTAAGACCGCCCTCCTTCTGGCATGAACAAATCAGGCTTCAGTAACAGAGCAAACAGGAGTTTCCCCAAAAGCGTCAGCGACACAGCGCTCGTTCCCTTATCTCAGGGAACCAAGGTTTTGTTAGTAACTGGAGCGTTCTATGTAATACATTTTTAAAAATAAGTATGTGCATATACTTATGTGTACATGTGTTTTTCCTCTCCACTGTGCTACCATCTAAAAATGTGGCGCTCGAGCTAAAAGTTCAACTTCAAAAAAAAAAAAAAAAGCACCTCAAGACCTTTTTTTCCATTTTTTCCCCCAATCCTCTCTCCGGCTCTCACGTTTTTCAAAGCAAAAAGCCTTCTGTGTGAATGGCCCCTAAGAAAAGTCCATTAAAATAGGGCCCAATGTATTGTGTTAATATGAAGAAATTTTCTGTATTTATTTTTCACAGGTGTTTTACAATTATTTTGAACTACGCATTGCATTGTGTTGTGTTTTAGGGTTAAAGGAAATGTCAGTAACCTTAACAGATAATGTCTTGGGAAGAAAATTACCAGTACCTTTTCTGTTTTTAGGGTTAGGGTTCTGTTTTTTTCTTATAGTGTAAGGCCCGCTTATGTATGTGATTAATACATTTGGTTGGGTTTGGTTTTAATACTAAAGTGTTCAAATTATTAATAGCACAAATACAAACTCTTAAATATCACATTTAGCGTTGTATGTATGAATTCCTGCTCTGTAACACCTTTGACAAATGGATCTGATAATAATTCCCTAACTGTCAAAGAGAATGACTTCCATTAATGAGTTTCAAACAAAAGATTTGTGGTGGGAGTAGTGACGGCTGTGCAAGGAGCTTTATTGCCAACTCGGCAAAATGGACCATCGGATTCATGGACCTCTGTTCTTGGACATATGAAGCTTAAGTGGATTTGTGCTTTGAAGGAACAAAGCCAGTGTCAGTCAGAGCTAAATCAAGCCTCTGGGGCTCTTACTGGGCCTTCAGTGGAACTAGCAATTATCCATTAATTACATCCTGAGATATTTGCTAATGGACTCCTCCATTCTTAGGACTTCACTTCAACTGAAAAATCAAGACATAATGTTCTAATGTGCCCGGGCAGTCTCTTTACTATAGCAAAATGAGGAGATGACCTAATCTCTTGTGTAAGCAATTAGTGTTTGGCAGCCAAGAAGAAAAGAAGGGCTGTCTGCTGTGACAAACATACACAGACCACGGTCAAGTCTAACTGCACCATTGAATAATAATTACAGTGCTTGCATGCCACTGTTAGGGGTTTGTTTTAAAACACTAAATATTACATTTCTGACCGAATTAATTCAGTAATTAGTTCAGATTAAATGTCTGGTTTCAAACTTTAATTCTAGACCATTTAAATTTTTATTAAAAATGTTTTTTGATTATTTGTTTTATTAATTATATTAACTAATAAAGTTTGAAAAAATCTCACACTGACTTGCCGAAAATGTTTAAATCTATTCAAATCATTGTAATATTTGCATACTTGGTACTCTTTCTTACTAAATACTCCATACTGAATTGTGATTACACTCTGAATATATTACACTGTGTTGATTCTTGTGTGCAACAGACAGAAAACAAAATGCATGTCGAGTATCATGACAACAGCAAACTTCATTTACACAGAAACAAAACTTAAAATTGGCACTAGTTCTGAAAATCTAGTCTGAATATTTAAGCTAATGTAAAATCTAGCTCCATTTGAAAATAAACTAGGTCATTGTTTGGCACATCATGCGATTTGGGCACTTAAATATAATGGCTAAAAGATCACTTCAATAAATGTTATAATGTGATACTGTTAGTAATATTAAAGATGACTTACTTTCATTCGAGCCTTGACTTTCATCCCATGATCTGATGTAATCGTCCTGACAAAAACAAAGAAGTAAAAACAGTCAAATGTGCTGCACAGAATAAACTTTAAGCATTTAGTCAAGAATAATACTTCTATCACTGTACATCTATCATTAACCAAACTTAAATGTACAATACTAAGATATTTTTTCTAATTGTGAAAAGCTGTGGAAAAGCACTAATGGAAAAAGGAGGGATGGAACTTAAGAAGAAAAATTCTGAAAGATAAACAAGGCAAAAAAGATGAACGCTTAAATGAAATGTCAAACAAAGATACATAAGCAACTTAGACTACATAAAAAGTGGGTTACCGCTTTGATAGCGAATATTAGATTAAGCATTTTAAAAGAGACATCAAACACAAGCAAAGTCATGATACAGCACTACTGACCTCCACTTCCTGGTGAAATGTGAGAAGGATGAATTAAAGACAAAAGAGAAGGAGACAGTTAGAGGAGAGCGATGCATCTCTGAGAAGCAACTATTTAGAAAAAAAAGACAGGCTCCAACTGCTAAAAAACATCTATTCGCCTCCTGGGTAAAACTTTGAATATATCCTTGATATTCCCTCATGTGTCCTTATAAAAGAGGCAGTTGCTTTAAGATAATTATACACTTGGTGCTCATAACACTTGAAATATTTCAGCACTCTGACTAATAATAATAATAACAACCTTTTTTGTAAAGTTCACAAGCTTATTAGTGTCATCAGCAGTCATTTATCTTTGCAGTTGTATGTATAAACGAGGTGGAATTGCATATTGACTGAATTTGGCTTTGTCAGCTACAACAGCGCAATAAATTAATATTTTTCTGCAGCAAATGTTTAAGTCACAAGTCAAGTGGCTATACATATGCTTTATCACTTCTGAAATGTAGACCAATAAAAAATGACATTTTCGTTACATATTTAACTTAATAGGTCTACTTCACGAATATATACCAACCACTTTTGTAGACCTTGATGAAATACAGTACTGCTAAATCTATTTAAGACCTGAATTAAAATAAAAAAACGCTAAAAACTATTACTATATGAATATGTGCTCCTGATATGATATAACCTTGTCAAAACAAATCAAAGACCAGTGACTCAAAATTCAGTGCTGCATTGCTTAACTGCAACAATCCCTGGAGCTGGACAACCCTGTTATTGATTTCCTGATACCTGCATTATTTAAGTCAGTTTTTGCTGTCTTAGCATAGTAGATACTGTGTGGTGTACTGAGAATTAAGGTGTCCATATCAGTAAACATCGAATGGACAGAGTGGTGAAACCTCTTGAATATATTTTTTATCTTTAGTTTATGCAAATTGAATGAGCCACTCATGCAAACATAACCCTTAATTCTTTCGATATGCACTTTTTTGAGAAGAGAGCTGTACACTGAGCGTGAAGTATGTGAAAAATGTTGTGCCACATCAATGTGTTCCCCCTCTCTGAAAAGATGCAAGAATGAGTCAGAATAGAAAAGTATCGCCATAGCTCACAAAAATATTGCCCCAACATATCATCATCTAATTTTATATGACCATCATCACAACACATCATCATCAAGATTTCTTAAAAGCTTAAAAAGCTTAAAGGGGTCATATGATGTTGCTAAAAAGAACATTATTTTGTGTATTTGGTGTAATGAAATGTGTTTATGCAGTTTGTGGTTAAAAAAACATTGGCTGAATACCTCAAGCGTGTGACGGATATGTTACGCCCCTTACCAGTGTTGCCAAGTTGGGCTACTTTAACACTGTTGCCGCGGGTTGCGTTTCATGTCTGCGGGTTGAAGCGACGACAGTGTTAAAGTAGCCCAATTCCACGGGAAAACCGGGGACTTGGCAACACTGGCCTTCTTTCTTTGCGTGAACATTTGGGCGGCGTTATGCAAATCTTCCCACATCGTGACTTAGACATGTGGGGGCGTGTTTGAACGAGGTGTTTTAGGAGGGCGAGGACCAGTCTTAACTTTTATAAAGAATATCTCTTTGGATTTGAGACTTTAGTCTTTGCAACTTTAGGGATCTTATCTATTCACGAACAGCTTGTAACACTCCAAAGAGAAAGGAAAACTTGAAATCGCATCATATGACCCCTTTGATTTCTTCAAGCTTAATAGAGAACAACAGTGCCCAGCCACTTTTTCAGTGGCATTTGTTCCAAAAGTATTTTTCCGATAGGGATTTTTAAAAAAGTCTTTGTTCAAGACTTATAAGCCACAAATAAAATCAACAAGCTATAAACTATACAAACTTTAATTTGAAGCAAAACACTAACAGTATCTAAAAATCTGACAAAAAGACAAAGGTACAAAGCTGTGTACTTAACGGCTGTCACACCCCTGTGGACTGTGGATTGTGGTTTCTCCCTCTGTGTCCTTATTTGGTTGTTCCTGTTCTCATTTGTGCTCACCTGTCTGCCCCTCGTTATCTGCCCTTTATTAGTTCCTGTCTCCTGTATTCTAGTTTGTCGGTTATTGTCAATGTCCATGTTCCTGTGAATGTTACCCTGTGTGATGTCTACCCTGTCTGGATCTCCTGTTGTTTCTTGATTAAATATCCGTTTATTCGTCATCTTCGTCATCCAGGGATCTTATCTATTCACGAACAGCTTGTAACACTCCAAAGAGAAAGGAAAACTTGAAATCGCATCATATGACCCCTTTGATTTCTTCAAGCTTAATAGAGAACAACAGTGCCCAGCCACTTTTTCAGTGGCATTTGTTCCAAAAGTATTTTTCCGATAGGGATTTTTAAAAAATTCTTTGTTCAAGACTTATAAGCCACAAATAAAATCAACAAGCTATAAACTATACAAACTTTAATTTGAAGCAAAACACTAACAGTATCTAAAAATCTGACAAAAAGACAAAGGTACAAAGCTGTGTACTTAACGGCTGTCACACCCCTGTGGACTGTGGATTGTGGTTTCTCCCTCTGTGTCCTTATTTGGTTGTTCCTGTTCTCATTTGTGCTCACCTGTCTGCCCCTCGTTATCTGCCCTTTATTAGTTCCTGTCTCCTGTATTCTAGTTTGTCGGTTATTGTCAATGTCCTTGTTCCTGTGAATGTTACCCTGTGTGATGTCTACCCTGTCTGGATCTCCTGTTGTTTCTTGATTAAATATCCGTTTATTCGTCATCTTCGTCATCCTGCCTGATCTCTCAACACCCTGACCGTGACAGAATAACCGGCCCAAAAGAGTTTAACTTCCGTGTTCTCCCCTCCGTTTGTTTTCTGTTTTTTTTTTCAGTGTTTTTCTTTCCGTTGTGTTGACCCCATGGATCCCTTCACACGCCCCGAATTCCTCCTTCTCCTGCTGGAGCAGGAAGGCAGGACTCTCGAGGACCATACCAGACGGTTCCTGATGGTCACTAACGTCACCAGCTATCCGGACGACACGCTTTCTATGCGGGAAGTCTGAACGCCGAGTGCAGAGCGCGGTCATCCGAAGATGGTCCTCGGGAGGAATTTGCCGCCTT